GGAAGGAACCTCAGTACACGGAATTAAAATGTCCAAGTCTTGCTCTTTATTTAACTCAAGGTACTGTGACACTATAATGTGCTTTTTTTGTGATGAGAAAAACAGATGTAGCAGCAGAATGGCGGTTTAAATGTATGTCGTATATGACTTGCTGTATATACATCACGTCTTATGCCAACAGATAATGTCTAAAGATGCAATTAAGCTTTGTCTGGATGAGCTGTGCTGTGCTATTTCATTCTCAGGTGGATTTTTTTGGGCAATAAAGATGATCCCCTTAATGCAAAAGCTCATATTATCCGTGTGTCCCCTTCTTCCTCGATAAAGCGAAGAGGGGTTTGAAACAAATTCATTAAGAGCTGGTAAGTGGGTGCGGTCTATTCCGTGCAGTCTGACAATGGACTGTCATTTTCAAGCTGGGCCCATTATGGCACATTTAGGCCATCTGAGCCCAGTTGGAAGGAGATTTATAATTAACAGCCATAATGTAATGAAGTCTAACAGTGGCCCCAGAGAGTGCTGGTCATCAGCTGCCTGTTGAGACTCATAGAAGTAGAGGCATTTAACTCACTTCATCATACTGTGATCCTTACAAAACAAACTCATTATTATTATTTTTTTGTAACACTGTTTCACTTTCCATTATTTAGCATTTAATACAGCAGGAAAAATAAGGTTGGGCTAGATTTACAGTGTAGTCTATTATATTCACCTTGCAAAGTATGTCTATTAGGTGTGTGATGGCCAAATCCACAGCTGCACAATTCATATACACTCACTGGCCACTTATTTAGACACAGATGTTTTACAGCCTGTTAACACAAATATCTAGTCAAGTCAATGGATTTAGGCATGCAGACTTGGGCAAGGCAATCTGCTGAAGTTCAAACCAGCACCCGGAAGTGGAAGAAAGGTGATTTAAGTGAATTTGGGTTGAGAAAATGTCCAGTGAGTGGCAGTTCTCTGTGAGAAAATGTCTTATTGAGGTGAGAGGAGAATATCCAGACTGCTTTGAGTTGATAGGAGTGCAGCATTAACTAAAAAATGGCCTGTATTTGTATAGCGCTTTTCTAGTCCCTAAGGACCCCAAAGCGCTTTACATATCCAGTCATCCACCCATTCACACACACATTCACACACTGGTGATGGCAAGCTACATTGTAGCCACAGCCACCCTGGGGCGCACTGACAGAGGCGAGGCTGCCGAACACTGGCGCCACCGGGCTCTCTGACCACCACCAGTAGGCAACGAGTGAAGTGTCTTGCCCAAGGACACAACGACCGAGACTGTCCAAGCCAGGGCTCAAACCGGCAACCTTCCGATTACAAGGCGAACTCCCAACTCTTGAGCCACAATCGACTAAAATAACCAGCTGTTACAACCAAAGTAGGCAGAAGAGCATCTCTCAATTCATGAAGTAAATAGGCTACAGAAGCCTACAACAGGTGCTCCAAGTCACACTGGCTCACAGAATAGCAGAAAATGTTTGCCTGATCTGATGAATCTAAGTTTCTGTTGTGACATTTGGATCGTTGAATGAGAATTTGGCGTTAACAACAGGACACCATGGATCTATCCTACTGTTTATCACAATTTCAGGTGGTGTAATGGTGTGGGGAATATTTTCTTGGAACACTTTGGGGCCCTTTGAGAATCATTTAAATGCCACATCTAACCTGAGTATTGTTCTTGATCATGTCCAATTCTTTATGACCACAGCGTGCACATCTTTAGATGAATGTTTTGCATGTCTTTGTCTCTGTCTGTCTCCCCTCACCCCAACCAGTCTCAACAGATGGCTGCCCGCTCGTCCCTGAGCTTGGTTCTGCCTAAGGTTTCTTCCTTTTAAAAGGGAGTTTTTCCTTCTCACTGTCACCAAAGCACTCACCCATAGAAGGTCATCTGATTGTTTGGGTTTTCTTGGTTTTCTCTGTACTATTGTGGGGGTTTTACTTTACAATATAAAGCACCTTGATGCAACTGTTGTTTAGTGTTGTTGTTTGGTGCTGTTTCGTTGAACTGAATTGCTTCCAGGAGGATAAGTCATGTCACAAAGATTAGTCACCCAATCTCAATCCAGTTGAGCAACTTTGGGATGTGGTATAGAGGTAAATTCACATCATGGAGCTGCTGACAAATCTGCAGCAGCTGTGCATTGCTATCATGTCAATAATGACCAAAATCTCTGACAGGTTTCCAGTAACTTGATGAATCTGTGCCTCGAGGAACTGAAAGTGAGAACGTCCAACCAGATACCAAGAAGCTGTACCTAACAAAGTGTCCAGTGAGTGCAAATATTACATCAGAATTCCAGTAACAAGATAAGAAGGAGAGGCGACGAGGAAACGAGCGAGGAGGAGGCAACGCTAAACCTGAGGAATAAAGATGGATGAATTGTGAGAAAGACAAATCAGAATCCAAGTGAAGCCATTTGTCCTTTACCCCTCCCTGTCTGTCAGCAGAAGCCAAATAATCTCCTCATTTATCTGGGGTTAAAACTCACAGCGCGCACAGAGGGATTTGCAACAAGCTGGAGATTTTTCACACCATCAGCCGTCAGTAAGTGAGTTAGTGATCTTGAGTGATATATCCCTGTATGTCCCTCTTCTTAAATGAGTTAGTATGTGTCTAGTGGCCGTGTCGCCAAGACGTGCTGGTGATGGATGAGGCTCTAAGGAGATGGGCTGTAAAAAAAGGCTGATTCTGGCACTCAAGGGTGAGATCACTTCCTCAATAAAAAAGCATTGTCCCGAATCATCACAGCAAGGTATGAATGCTGATTAGGGTATTAGGCGAAAGAGAGCTCCGCTGTAAAAATAAATCAAATGAGCTGCGAGTTAATGCAGAGGGTCCCTCTGATACAGAGCTACGGTGTCTACGACCGGGGCCCAATGGCTTCGGATACAAAGACAGCAGTAAATAATGAGTAATTATTCCAAGTCCCTCATTGCTGGATTACAGGCAATGTCTTACACTCAACTAACCCTGCAAGGGCTTCTCTTAATAGTTGCTCTGTAATGGCCGCAGGGAGGCATCGTTTTTAAGGCGTTATTGTCCTTAAGAAAGAAAAATATTCATGGAGAGTAATTATCACACTTTCTTAACAACGAGCTAAAGACAAAATGAGCTTCTGTGTCCTCGTAACAAAATGACAGAATTATCCAAAGGTCATTGAAAGAGCTGTATTTTTTAATGGATGTTGGAACTTTTTTCTAGATAAATGGTAAAACTGACGTAAAACAAAGATTTCATGATACACCTGATACACACTGGGAAATGTGGTGGTAAGTTTTTCTTCAAATGCTCTTAGTGTAAGAAAAAGATTATTAACGCACTGATTTTATCTAACTGATTGGTCACTGGACCGTGACGACTTCCTTCCTGCGCTGTCACATAGTCATCATCTATCTAGACATGTTAAAGGTGAGCAGGTGAGAAATTTCCCTTCTTTAGTAGATGAAGTGAAAGCAGATGGTAGTTGTGGCAGACTGTGTACAGATCATTCTGAGGACTTTAACAAGTAGGTAGGAAAACATATGACACTGATACCTGCATCAATGCATACATCCAGGATACAACAGGGGACCATTTTCCATGTAGAATTTAAGAGGAGGAAGAAGAAAATAGAAAATAAAAGATTTCATGCAATCCTCTGGAAAACTGTTAGTAAAGTTATTCCTGTAGCTCTTTACTGTCAATCACCCCATCACCTCCACCAAAGCAGGCTGAACACCTGAAAAGTTGAAGGTCACTTTAAGACTTTGTGCACCAGTTTCTCCAGCACACAAATCGAAGGGTTTAGTTGATCTTTAATATCATTATTATTATTATTATTATTATTATTTTTAAATAATGAGCATACATGTGACAGGATATGCAGCTGTTCCAAATCTCACTGCAGTGCAATAAAAAACTATGACTGGGTGTGAGGTAGGTTCACTCAGGAAAGGGCAAAGCCAGCAGTAGCTGCCTAGTGCCATCGTGTGGTCATACAGGATATTGCACAGGTCAGTAAGTTTACGTTATTCTCAGAAATATTTGGAGCTCATATTACAAAGTTTTTTCTTTACAAAAAAATATTTTAGCTTTCCCCCAAAATGGTTATAAGTATATCCATTCACCCATACTCTTCCACATATCCGGTCCAGGGATGCAGTTGGGCTGGACAGGTCGCGAATCTGTTGCAGGACTAACACATTCATGCCTACAGCCCATTTAAAATCAGCAGTTAACCTTACGTACATGTCTTTCAACTGCGCCAGCAATAACATGATGATGCATAAAATTCAGTTAAACAGTGTAACTGAAACTCATGCTGGCCAAAGGCCCCTTATGAGCCAGACAGTGTGTTATCCTTTAAATCAGTCACTGACAAAAGCTGCTTCCTTTTGAGTAATCAAAGTAGAATTAGTGGCGTAAAGGGCATACGATAAAAACAGAAGTTACCACATTACAGCTTTATCTTTAGATGGGTTTCTTTTTAGTCACTATTATTTAGCAATAAAGAAAAAGTGAGTTTTCCACCCAAAATTTAAAGAGAAACTCCAAACGTAAGATGACCGATTTCACTTGAAAATAAACTGAGCAAATATTATGTACAGTTTCCTCTTGATGCACACAAATAACCAAGTTAAACTCATACTGGTTCCTTTTTTGAAGCACAGATAAAATTAAAAGGTTTTTTTTAAGAGCACAACTCCCCCAAAGGGCAGGGCCTACAGTAAAACTTTGATATTTTTATTGTAATATCAATATGTCAGCCTGTTTTTTATTGTCATTGTGATGTCTTAGTGCATCATATTGAGAAAATTAAAAGTGTTGTACAGCTCTCTCTGTGGCCTTTCATATGATATACAGGACGCTAAGGTCACGCTTAAATGCTTAGCCAACCTAGGCACCCATGTTCCCCATGACCTAGTATGTTGTTTTGAAATTTAAAGAAATTCCATAAAAAATTGTAGGCAATATAAAGTTTTTACTGATTTTCCCACCAATTTGGATGTGATGTTGATCTTTCACCTAAAGTAATTTGGTTGGAGCTGTTGCTGGTATCTACCATCTCACAAAATTTGAACTTGATAGGTTGAAAACTGTGGATGCCAAACTGCTAACAAACATGCAGAAAGACAAACAACTGGAGCAGATTACATATTTGGAATATAGACATTCTTGTGTCTTACACTATATTTATTGTGTTCATCCTCCACATTTGAATACTAGCTCTTCTGTTGGAGCTTGTCTGGTGTTTGTTTCTTATTACAAAGATATATTTTCAAAGTGCAACTATTAGCTTTTAGTGTAGCTTAGCTTAGCTTGTATAACTATTCCATCTGCCATCAGTTGATATGAGTGTCCATACTTACAGACAGGCTGTATAAGAAATGACTCACACTAGCAGTACACTGGAGGATCAGAGAGGTGATATGCTAACATGCCTCTTCAGGTGAGCTGAAACCAGACACCTGGCTGTTACCATGGCACCGCTGGGGGGTTGATCGGAGGTGGAGAAGGACTCAAATGCAGCTTTTTTCAAGGCTTCTTGAGCTATGATACTAGGCGTTTTGTCTTCCTCCTGCTGGCTGGGATTAATTTCAATTGAGTGTTGAGTCCTGAAGGGAGCCAGTCAGCAAATAAAAGTATCAGATGTAAAATAGCGATGGGTGGACAGTGGTGATCCTAAACGCCTGGCAGGTCTTTGCCCTTCTGATCGATGTGTCACACAGCGAGGGGCTGTCAGCACCCCCCGCCACAGGCCGAACAACGGACATCAGCACCGGTGAGTCCCACTTCTCCCACACAGCACCTTTTTCCACCGACCCCTTCATCATTTTTCACCTGCTGTCAGTTTGCAGTGAGTGTCTGCAACATCTTGGGCAGAAATAGGCTGGTACTGAATGTTGGAACATGCTGGAAAACTGCATGAAATATTGCACATGTTATGCTCGTTATACAGCATCTTTTTGCCTTCAGGGGCCTACCTGCAGTATATGCTCTTTAATCCACCAATATCCACTGCCAGTCATGGTCTCTGTTAAAGTATAAATGGAATGAAAGTGTGGTCTTTGCTGCTTACTCCGAAGGTTAGAAACTAGGCCAAGCAAGCCGGAGTGTCTCCAGTTACAGTGTTATCTCTTCCTCGGCAAGCATCTGATCATCTTTCTTTCTCTAAGTGTTGATTTGTGACATGCAATCTAAACCCTACATGATAGACTTGTATGACCCTACAAGTCATAACTGTGCATACTACGCTCTTACTTTATCTGTGAATCTTTCATTTTATCATCACTCTTGCTTGTATATTCAGATGATATCTGCAAAATAAAAAAAGAGACTATAAAGACTAATGAAGACAGAATAGCTTTGTGCAAAATTACCATAATACATAGTGCCTTTATGGTATTTACTGATTTATCATTCCAGATTCACCAAACCCCACTCCTCTTGTAGGAGGAGGAGGAGGAGGTGAGAGGGCAGAGGGAGGCCAAGAGGAGAGGCAAGTTGTCCGGGAACTGTGGTTCATTGTAGTGATGGCAGGCATTGCCCTACTGCTGCTCGCCATCGTGCTAGCTGTTGTGCTTCATAAGGTAAGATACAGCATCTGTGTTACTGTGTGTGAATGGTGGCAGACTGATTTTACTAATTGCTCTTTCCATTATTAATAAAAACGTGCATAAACTGCACGATAGACAACTGGGGCAATCATTGCAACCATTAGAAAGCAGCTTAAACCAAACTTTCCATTCCCGCTCTTCATCATGGCCTAGGCCCTGAACAAACCCCCATTCAGCAGAGAGAGACCTCCATTGGTGGCCCTGCCCATGCAGAAGAGGAGTCCCATGGCTATCTACCCACCCAGCAACTCTATGTTGGTGAGGGGAGATCTACTCTAGTTTCTTTTTGTCTTATCGCTTATTCAACATTTCACTTACAATTTGTAAGTGAAACTGTACGTGTCTCAGTAACCACTGGTTACTGACTGCAGCTAGCTAGCTGTGTTTGACTTATTCACCAGGGGTCACCAAGGCACCTAATATTTATATTATGAATGACACTCATGACTTTTCCTGATTAGACTTTTTGCCAGTACAACTGTATAAACTACTATACTACACTATAGTGTGATATACTATATATTTTATGCTATAGTATATGATATGCATTTCGTTGCCCCTGTACCTGTGTATGTGCAATGACAATAAAGTTGAATTCTATTCTATTCTATTCTATATTGTTTAGTTTCTATACTATATTACACTATACTATACGTTTTGTACTATAGTATGCTATGTTATGCTATAGTATATTACATTGTTTATTCTCTATACCAGCGGTGCCCAGCCTTTTTGGGCCATGAACCAGTTTATGTCCGACAATATTTTCCGGCCTTTAAGGTGTCGCGGATAAATACAACAAAATAAAACCACTACCAGTACCAAAAAAAAAAGGAAGATTTAATGATAACACATGGGAAAAGACCCAGGGAAACTGAGTTAACGATAAAAATGATAAAAAAAAATTAATGATAAAAATGATAAAAACCCTTAAAACCATACATATGTATGTAAAACCATACATATGTATATAAAACCATACATACGGTATAAGATCATTTTAAGTGTGATGAAAAGTGAATATTATATTTAAATACAGATGTGGATTTATATACATTTCTTAGATAATAAAATGTGGGCTGTTGCGAGCATAAACTTTGAATAGAACTGATGGGCAATCAATACTACTATATTTTCCAAGGACGTATGCCATGCTGTCTGAGTTATTACCAGCATACACCACTCAAATTTAGTTGATGGGTAACATTTGAGTGTTTCCTTAGTATTTATTCTTAGTAGTTTCTCTGCTTAACTTTATTATTACCAATTTATTAAAGAGGTTACTGTGTTATAAGTTACAATGTATTAAGAAGGAGACTATTTAGCAAATAAGAAAGGATTGCTAGTATTTGTAGCCCATAAAATACATTTATTACATTACTCTCAACTGAAAAATTCTCTCATTCATTTCCCCCAGTTTGATACTGTACCTGACACAACAGGCTTCTCTAACAGTGTAACGCTCAAGGCCTTCACCATGAAGATGGAGGTAAAAGCAAATGTCTAATCTACATATACGAATACATTTTTATTCTCTATGCAAGTGATACTTAGCACTTTTTCTGTCTTACCAGGAAGTGCTGGAAGCTAAATGTGAGCCTGGAGATGAGGATCCTCCACAGGGTGAGTTGGGCATCCTCAGTGTGAACTCCCTGAGGCGCAGCGTCAGCCAGGTGATGGATGGGAAGTCACTCACTGGAGACGATGACGTGTGGGATCCCAACATTTCAGGCCATGACAGTGGGATGGTGAGAGATCCCAAAAACGTATGCTGTGCCTGTTTAAACTGGAAGAACTAAAGGCCTTTTGCTACAGTCACAGCAGAGGAATGTAGTATGTTATATACTGCTAACCTATGACCTTCTCACTCTGCACATTCTTTACATTTGTCCACAGAACTGTAGGTATTTAAACACTCACAGGAGAGACAGACTTGCTTAATAAGAAAAAAACATATCACTGGAAATATGACTATTTCCTTTAATAATCTCCATTCTTCTTCTACAGTTTATGGATGATGAAGAATTTGTTGATACAATCAAAGGTTTCAGCACAGTGAGGAAGGAGCACACCATGTTCACCGACACTAACCTGTGACCTGGCGGCAGGGCCGGCAACATCCTGAACAAGACTCTTAAAATGCTTAAATCCACCCTTTTTCATGTTCAGCTAAAGCGTCATAGCAGCTGGCTAACAGTTCTCTCAAGATGAGCCACAGCTGCAGTAAAGAGGGGGGGAAAGTATGAGGAGCCCAATGGGATTCGTGACAAGAACAGTGGAATAACTCTGTGAAGGAAGGAGAAGGGAACTGTTCTGACATTCAAACATTACAGAGTGGAAGGTGGAAGCAGCTGCTTGTGTGGAAGGAAAACTAGGACACGTCTGACATCACCACTGGACACACAGAATTAAAGAGAGAAAAAATCAAAGATACAGACACATACGTTTGTTATTTATATCAAAGCTTTCCTGCCATTTTCCGCTGTAAACCCTTTGAAGTCATGCTGTATTTGGATGCTCTGTTAAAAAAATCTCTTATTTAAACCTTGGCATGTTCATTCAACTTTTTATGTCAGTTTTTCCCATATTTATATATCATAAACATATCTCAATTTTTTTTTAATTAACTTTAACACTTCCAAAGATGAAGTAAAGGAAAAAATATCTGGAATCATTAAGAGAAGCATTACACTATAAGAAGGTTTTTCCTTCCTAGGTTCATTAGTTACTATTAATTCTTAGTTATTATTAATCTCTGGCTCTCTCCCAGGGCGAGTCTTTTGTTGTGCCTCCCTCCCCTGACCTCCAAACTGGTCATGGCTGATGGCTGCCCCTGGCTGGTTCTGTGGGAGATTTCTTTCTGTTAAAAGGGAGTTTTTTTAATGTGGCCCTGAGAAGCCAAACGGACTGGAACACCAGCAATAAGAAAAACGCTGCAAAAGCACACAAAGCACAATGGAAATAGGAAACACGACAAAAGAAATAGGAAAAAACAGATTTCCAAAAGCACAAGGGAAGTGTTTCTGGGGAGGCTATAAAACGACGGACCAGTTGCAGGAACCCAAAACATTGTAGGTGTGTTTTATCATGATTCATATAATACTGATGACGGATTTTTAGGCTAATAGTTAGGCTAACACTCTTACCTCTCATCTTTTCTTTCTTCACAAAACCGATAGATCCTCTACTTCTTTTAAGTGTCTCCCAGCGCGATTCTTATTGCATATTTTGGTTCCTGCAACTGGTCCGTCGGGTTATTGTCTCCCCAGAAACACTTCCCTTGTGCTTTTGGAAATCTGTTTTTTTCCCCCTCCTATTTCTGTTTTCTTTTCTTTCTTTCCCCCCCCCTATTTCCGTTGTGTTTTGTGTGCTTTTTCCTTCCCACTGTCGCCAAGTGCTTGCTCATTGGGTGTCATTTGATTGTAGCGTCTTTACATTCCAATAAAAGCACCTTGAGGCGACCGTTGTTATGTTTTAGTGCTAGACTATTTCTTGCAATTCTTTCACAAGCATAAACTCCTGTTTTCTGTTTTCTATATTTCATCCTCATACTTTGACATCTTATGTAGACCCATGGTATTCTTTTTTAAATCTTCCCATTAAGTTTTTACTTCCTCCAGATTTGGGAACAACCAAGGTCTTTTGCCAAAATCTATGTTGGACTGTATAATTCTAACGGCTCTCTCGTTGAGGACGTCTTTCCTTTGAGTCAGCAAAGTGCAACAGCTTGGTGAAGTCTGCAGGAAGTCCATTTTGCATCTTGCATATTTAGGTCTGTAAAGGTATTTGTTTTGGAAATTTAAATGACAAGTTTGTTTTCTTGGAAAAAAAAAAAGTAAACGTACAGAAATGTGTTTGGAGGTGTTTCATGAATCCACAATGTTCAGCTATTAAACTGAAACAGGTCTGTAAAATATAATTGACTTGTTTGTTAAAAAGTTGTTTAAAAAAGAAAAAAAAAAGAAAAAAAGCTGAATGAACAGCCTCTATTCAGTCTTTTTTCACCATTTGGGAGAAAGCTCCGGTCGCCCTGGAAAGAGCTGCTTGCACGTTTGCATGCATTAGAGGGTCGTGATGGAGGAAAACGCTAGACTGTCTTAGTTTTATGACTTTCCCATCTATGTTTTCACAGTGATAACATTAAACTGGTAAATATGAGTCATTCATTTCAGGTGAATTTCATATTTTCCATGAAATCCAAAGCATGATTCCCAGATCAGGCTTCCTCAGCCACACTTCCCGAGTTGCTCAACATCAAGCAAACAGTCATGTGAATAATTTCTACATCATATTGGAAAGTTTTTCAAACTTGATAAAAATGGTCTTCCTTGATATTCAAATACACAGTTTTGACACAGCAGTGACTTAATATGCACTAAAATAATTAGGATGGGACTTTTTACTCTGTTAGACATTTGTGCAAAGATTAGGAAATTACACTTCATATCTGAAAGGTCAAGGTTGGACATGCACAGACCTAACCTGCAAATTAACAGGGAAAACAAGCATGAGGAGGTAACTCTAGTTTTTATTTTGAAATGGGTTGCAATGCAATGAGGGCACAAAACACTTGTACCATTACAGTCAATAATATGGTTACAAAACAAACATTTACATAATAAATTAATATATTGCAGTACCACATGAGACAGTAAACATTAAACCCCAAACTTGGGAATTATATTGCATTAAAAAAATGAGTTATTTGTTAACTGTACAAAGATTTTCAGGCATTTACAAAGGCAGCCTCTTATTTCATTGCTTGTTGTACATATATAAATATAAATCTTTCAATTGGTAGTTGAACTGATATGTCTGCTGAGCAGGCCGGATGAGAGGCTCTGGCCTGAGACGAGATCTTTCAGTGACCTCTGTGCTGACTGCCATGTCATTATAAATCAGTGTTTTATTTACACAGATGGCATTAAAAGCTAGTTTAATTCAAGCACTTTCCTAACCAGATTATGACAAATCAATAGACACCTTTCAAGATATGATTTAAGTATTTCGCTGCCTCTGATTTTAGGACTTCTGATTACTTACCACGAGTTAAAACTATAAAAAAAAAAAAACCTCTGCTTGTCCCTTTAATCTAATATCCATATGCTCCTAAACAGACAAATCATTAACCATAAGAAATGTGTTTGCAACACTAAAGTGCATGCAGCACATGCTTGGTTGCGAATGTTTTCTTAGCTGGCAAAAGTAGAAACAGGTTACATATAAATAGTCTTAACACAGCACTACAAGCTTTTGACTTCCTTTACAAAATAAATGACCCCCTATTCATTTAAGCAACCGTTTGTGCGGTCCCCGACATTCATCATCTTCATCACTCCCCTTTCCGAGAGCGAGGCGTTCGATTATTACCCAGTAAAAGACAGATGTGTTAACCACAGCTATGCTATTATAAGAAGACCCCTACAACAAGCAGATGCTACTGCAGCCTCTACAGATGTTACCTGCGCTACAGCTGCTGCTATGACTGCAGAGCGTACTACATGATTCTGAGCGGGTTCAGCCGAGTGGCTGCTATGCATGAGAACATTTCTAAGATAGAAGTGCAGCAAGCTCCGAGTCTAGCTGCTAAAAGACGACTCAGGAATGTCAGCAACTTTCTGAGGATGATTTAAACTACTAACACTGATGATCGTACCTGAGAGCTAGGCTAGACCTGATCTGACAGTGTGTGGTGCACCTGTAGCGGCTGGTGTTTCGAACGTTAGCGTGCCAACTTGCTGAAGACGCGGTTGGTTTTAGAGGGGCAACTCCTGCCAGTAAGTATTGCACTTCCAGAAAGACTTGGAAGAAAGCCCAGACTTTTAGTCCTAGTGCAGATCCTGAAGGTTTTCTCAAGCCTGGGATGAAATAACCTTGGTGACATCATGTTAAAGGTTCTCCAGAGCCGCCGAAGACATTACACAGCAGTTTTGCTTCACCACACACTAATCTACTGAGACTACGACTGAGGCTACGACAGCACACGATCAGATCACTGACGGAGTAAAGTGCTACCACTAAAATTTAACTGCTAAAGATGTAAGAGACTGGTTTAAAAATGCCACAACTAATAACAGATGCTTAACTATTTACCAAATCTGACTTCATTTGAGCTACAACACCAAGCTAACATACAATCAGACAGACTGGTTGCCACTAATGCTGAACTTTAGCACATGAGGTATCTGCAGACTCGTGAAATGACACCTCGTGGGGAAGTGATGACATTGGTGGGAATGGGGAGGTTACTACTTGAGGGCTCAGAGGTCAACAGACTAGATTTACAAAATGTTTACAAAGTCCCTTATCTCACTAAAAACATCCCCTTATCCAAAAATATGCTTTACATATTTGTTCATCCAGCTACGACTTTAAGTCTTTCCACTTTTTTTCCCTATTTAAAAAAAAAAAGTTCCCCAAACTGTGCAATTTCTTTCATCATATACAAAATATTTCATCTTAACATTCAGCTAACAGCTACTAACGAGTGCAAACCCTAAAGCAACATGCAACAACATCACTACCTACAGTTTTGCATTTTTAAATTAAAGGGTTTGTTCCTTGATCCTCACCAAGCAGTTTTCAACCTTAAGACGCTGTCATGATGTGCAACCATCAACAAATGCCATTAATGCAATGGATTCCTAACGAGGAAATAACAAAACAAGACTTCATAACACGACTTGCCCGGCACTTTGAGATTCACAGATTCTGCCCGGATTCGTTTTTCCTGTCAGGCATGAACTACACAGATGCAAATTTCACCTCACACAAGCTTGATGACGTTGCACGCAGGTTGAACTTTTGTTATTTTCCTGACTGTTCACAACTCAAAAAAAAAAAAAAAAAAAGCCCTACACAAACCAGGAAGTGAAGTGTTCAGACTAATACTGATTACTGGCATCTATAGACAAGTTATCATGCAGTCAGAACATACATAGAGATGTAGTACTCAAGCATTAAAAAGTTAAAAGTTACATTGGAATATACGAGTCAAGGAGCGTTAAAATCCTAGGATCAACAGAGTTTAAAAAAAAAAGTACCACAAGGAAAGAAAGTCTATGATGTGGAAACTGGGGGCCACTTTGTGGGTTTTTCCTGGATTACCAGAACCCTCTTCTGATGGTCCAGTGGATGGTTCTGGAAACAGAAGTGTTGCCTTTGACTTTACGTGGGACAGAGGACTGTGGAGAGAACAAGAGCAGAAATGCCCTTTACTTTATTTGCACAAAAGAGAGCTGCACATTAGGCAAAAGCAACTACAGCACGGACCCAGTGAGTGAAGAGGAAATGGTAATTACAGGTGAGAAGCACACATGAACAGGTAGGTACCACTACAAGCTCGCAGTAAAGGCAAAATATGGGTGTGCTTTTGTGTTTTAGGAGGAAGTGTAGTGCAGCAAACAAGCACCACAGTAGCGAGGAGGGAGTGAGGGGACGGCTGCTGCTTCTGGGCATAGCTAAGGTCACCAATGCGCACAGAGAGAGAATTGGATCTGTGGTCACCTCTCAAACCTCAGTTTCCACTGCTCTCATACCAGAGCTACCCCCAAAGGACAACGCGGCACAGGTGAAAGACAAAGGAAGTACAGGTCAACACTGAAGGGTGGCAAGGAAACGATTTCTCTTCTCCTTTAATTAACCTTTGTACAGTGGCCTACGTTTCTGCACTCTCAGCTTCCCTAAAAACAAAGAAGGGAACTCTGCGTTTCCCCCCTTTTCTTACAAAACAGAGTGTGGGTGTCTGAATAAAGTCACCTGATTGTGAGAGAGATATAAAATTTGGACTGTTTTTTTCTCCGTTTTAGTCAAATTATAGACTTGATATAAAGTCTTAGTGCTTACCTTTGAGAATATAGTCTGTTAGGAGGGCAGGTACCTTCTCACTGTCATCCCTCATGGCATGGAGGACTAGAATGAAGACAGCAGCTTTTTACATTTAGAAAACAACCACACAAACTGACAGGTTAGCCCCAATCAAACAGCAACACCGG